CTAAGCCTGGGGGGGATCTTGTTCTGGTCTCGGGGGGGACGCTGGCCCGTGGGCAACTGGCCCCAGGGGTGCGGGGGGACCCTGGCCCCTCGGTAGGGCTCTCCCCAGCCCCGCTGCCATCTCCAAGCCCCCTGACCCCCAACCTCTTATCCCCCCCAGGCGGTACTTCGTGGACCTGACCAGCATGAAGGAGCACTTTAGGTCCAAGGTGCACAAGAAGAGGTAAGGGGTGGGGGAAGCCGAGCAGGTCCCTGAGCAGCCCCATGGGCCCCTGTCCTACCCCGGAGCAGGCTGTGGCCCCCCAGCCCCACTCCATCGGGGGTGAGACGGGGGGTGGTGTCAGTTCTGGACCGGTCTTGTTTCGAGGAGCCGGGGTGGACGGCTTCAGCCCTCCTCTCTGCCTTCCCCTCAGGCTGAAGCAGCTGCGGGAGGCACCGTACACACAGGAGGAGGCAGAGCGCGCCGCCGGGATGGGCTCCTACATCCCCCCGAAGAAAGTGGAAGTGCAGACCCAACCGCTCGAGGAGGTCACCGAGATGGAGGCGTCCAGCTGAGCGGGGACTGAGGGGGTCGGGGGCAGCTCCGTAAGGGCGTTCTTTGTCCTCAGCTTTGTGAGAAAAAACACGCCTCAGCGCAGCCTGCCAGCGAGCGGACGCACCGCTCCTCCCAGCGGCCCTCCTCGCCGGGGCACTAACGAGGAGAAGGAGCCAGCGAGACCCCGGGTGCCCTCGCTGTGTGTCCTCCTTTTTGGGGAAGGGGCAAGCCGCTTTGTCCCTAAGCACTGGCGTGACTGTACACTCATCTTTTTGTTTTCAGAGCGGTTTTAGGCTTCTCTTCTTGGGTCAGAGTTTCAATCCGGTGAGTCACCCATTAAAATATGTCAACAAACAGGCTGGCAGTGTTGAGAGCTCTGTGTGAGCATGACCCAGGCCCTCTGGAGGGTGGCAGTCGCCCCTCGGGGTGAAAGACAACCAAGCTCTCGGTGTTGTGTTCTTCCAGATCACACAAAGGGAAAAATATTTCCAGCATCTGTGCCAGCCAGGAGGAACGGCCGCATCCCGGTGCTGCTGCCCTTGGCAGGGTGGTTAACGGACCCTGCTGGCAGGGGGATCCCAGTATGCTGGTAGCAGATACGGGACTGCTTTTTTGGGGGCAAATACGTGCTTGAGTGAACTTTTCATCAAGCGCTTGAGTCTAGTAAGCAGCTGGTTGCAGTGCTGGCCCTGTCTGTTTGGGCCTTGAGCAGGGAGTGCTGGTGTCCCCCCAGCGGGGACACTTCCAGGCTTCTGTCCCTTAAAACCCAGTGCCTGCAAAGTGATTTCATCTTCCCAGAGGGCTGGGGCTGCGTGCGTGGCGTGATCAGCCTCCCCCCCACCGCCATGTCCACCAGCCTGATGCTGCTGTGATCCCGCCGGTGACCCTGCCTCCGCCTGCCGGGCTCTCGGGGGACTTTGCGTGACAATGTCACCATCTGCTGCTGCGAATTCCTGCAGAGCGGCTCTCTCCGATGCAGCCCTGGCAGCAAAACCCTCAGCCTGGAGGTTTGTCCCTCCTGCTGACCCGGGGACGGGGCGCTGGGTCGGAGCGGCAGAAAGGCGGCGTGACAACGCTGTGCTCGTCGGCAGGAAAGGGTTTATTTCCATGCAGCCTGCCCGGATTTGTGCCCCCCCCCTCCTCGAGCCGGGGAGATGAAGGCGACTAAATCTAGCTATTAGCATCTCTAGGGGCAGCTCCATGGGGGGTTTGGTGGGTGCGAGGGGACCGGGAAGGTGGCAGACCCCATCCCGGTGGGATGTGCCTGCCCGGGGGACATGTCGCCGACCCCGTGGCCCCATCTCTCCCCC